AAAAAAATCAATAATAAGTATAAAACTAATTTTAAACTATATAAATGAAGAATTTTAAAGAATTTAATGAACGTGTTGTGTCGGTATTTTTTTTTAAAAATCACGAGTCGACGTATCCGACACGTATCGTGTCGGACACACGTGTCCATGTCGGTGCATCAAAGGTTTGGACTCAAGAAGAATGAACTTTCACAGGGAACATGCGAGTGTTAGAAGCCCCTAGAAGTTTATATTTCGGTGATGTTCATCATTTATCCAGTTCCCAAAATAGGTGGGTACTGGGAATAAGATCTGGTTCTGGGAAGTTGTTTGAGAATGATAACGCATATTCTACTTTATTGTTCCATATATTACTTCATCTACATTTGCTGAGAAATGCTCCCATTCATCGTGTAGCTTTACTTAATATGAGTACACACTAAGTCAGAACTTTCAATTTCATTGACCCTGACGTGATACTTAAACTTCTAGTCTTATAAGTCATTCTAGAAACCCTTTTCTTAAAGCCTCATCCAGATAAGAGATTGGGGACTGGATTCCACAAACATATTTTCCTCTAAATCATATTTCTAAGCTTTGGTTGATTTTCCTTGGTACCCAATCTTCGAACCTTTTAAGTTCCTCTAACCCTTACAGAATTAAAATGTTTGACTGACTGGATTTCAACGTGAAGATCAATATAGTGATTCAGTTCTAAAGAAGTGTTCAAATCCATTTATTTCTCCTTCATGGCATGTAATATTGATCATTTGATTTTACAATTGTGAAATTGCAAGGGTGCTATAAGGTATGTCAAGTTTGCCGTGGTTCCAAGTAAAATAATAAGTCGCAGGTACATACCAAACTTTGAAATCAGTTGCACAGCATGGACATTTCCAATACCTTCGACTCCTGCACTCAATTGCAATTTACCAGCTTCATCAAATTACTGTACCAAGAATAAGTTTACAACTATCTAAAAGAACATTTTGGATTCGTCAAATAAGCTAGAAAGTTGAAAGTAGAAGAAATAAATGCTCTTGCTTCTCAGAACATATAAGATTGAGGTAACAAGAAATATGAAGGATATGTAGTTTAAAATGGTTGCATTTCACAAGTCTGGATGGAGTAAGTGTTTACTAAATTTTAAACTCCAGTAACAGCATATTTCTTTCACAACAAAAACGAAATAAAAAGCTTCAGGATACTATGCTTTAAAGAAAATGCTATAATAAAAGTAAGATTTTCCAATTAACTTGTTTTTCACAGAAGTTAATCAAATAAATAACTTATGCTTTACACAAGTCAATTAAAAATAAAAATAAAAAACCACATACACACAAAAGTACCCGGTATATTATCGGCTTTGTCTCCCATAAGTGACATCACATCAACAAACTGAGAAGGTTCTAGTGTTCCATATTTCTTAGCAAAATCTTCCATGCCAAAAGAGACCATCCTGAAAAGTGATACTGAAAGTGTCAAGACTAAAATCAGTTATAAAAAGCAATTAGCAAAATAAAAAATAAATAAGAAAAAATAAAAGGCATAAAGCGAATTTAAGTTAAAGACAATTTTTGTGTTATTTCACTTGTACACAACTACCCTGTTCACGCACTTCTTCTCAGACCCAAAAGAAAATAACAAAACTAACTTAACTGATTATAAAACATGGGTTTCATATCAAAATTCATTTATATTAGAGTAAGATCTTCAGGTCAACCAAAGCTCAAACGTATGGAGTGCTGGAGGTTTCAAAAACTGCCTTAGACAAAGAGTTTCAGCTGTCCTCCCAGCTTCTGGGTGAGTTAGATCCAATTTTACCACTCATTTAACATAAACTAGTATGAATTAGCTAGCAAAACTGGATTTATGTTGGTAGATGCTAACTGATGCAACATACTGAATTCCCACACAACTTCAGTTACCATTTCTCAAAAAATACAGCAAGTAAAGAATTTCAGATAATAGAATGTAAGTGCCATAGATGCGTCCAGTAATCAAGTAAAATTTTTTCTTGTACACTAGATGGAAGACTTCGTTGCTTTATTTTTTTGCACCCTGCATAAATTGTTATGTTGTCTCTATATGTGCATTAACTGTGTTTCTTTTCTGATTTCATGATATCCGTAATCATAATAAGACACTAATTTCCTCAGGCGCCATCATCAGATTCAGATCCATGATCCAAGACCATGCTAGAGTTGAAATTTCAAGTTGAATTTTTTCGAGTTCAAAGACTCGAGGCAAATAGTTTAGTACCCTAAGTATGGGAGGAAAGAAAGGAGAAGACAATGTTAGAGCTGGAAAGAGAAGACGGTGGTTAATAAATGAGGAAAGAGTTCGTGCAAAAGTCTCTTCAGCATATGCTCAAAGCGAGGACCATTCTTCATCAAAGCAAAGAACATATTATATTCCGTAAGAAAAAACTCTACACATGAAACATATTTGGCAAAATTCATGGTTAACAGAAATTTTCAGTAAATTTCAGCAAACATCACTCTGGGGAATAAGTGCTCGAGTAATTATCGTTAGTATTCTATATGTATTTTCATCAACTAATCCAATCTCAGCAGCCAAATTGTCAAACCCACAAAATAAATTCAGTGGTTTAGTTAAAAAACTCAGAAAGCCTAAAATTTTATGAAATGCGTTTTCCCCATTTTTCTTCAGCACTAGGTTTCAGTGATTATCACCCCGGGCAACGATTGATGTGCTTTGTACTTAGGCATGCGCATAAACATTCTATTAACAACTAATAACCAGCAGAAGTAAATTCATATTAGCCCCATATAAACGATAGGAACATGGGTTGGGCATCTTTATGGAAGATGTGTTTATGTTGGACGCGGAAGAAGGAATTTATTTTGAAATCTGAAATGTAAACATGCCAGACTACTTGTATGTATGGAAGGATGAATTACAGTGCAAGGACTACAGACAATGAAGTTAGATATTTTGTGAGTTCCAAGAGAACTAGTCAGCAATTCAACGAAAAGATTATGGACATGTATATTAGGAACATTGAGGCAAGTAGCTTATAGCCTTGTACCGATTCTGATTGATGTTCAAATGTAGAGCTCTTATATTGATTGGGGGGAACAAATTAACCAAATTCACAGATACACCTGATGACTGATTTTTACTGCTCTAACTAGACTTGCATTTCATGGTAATCAGTTTTCCACTGAATCCGATTCTTTGAAATGACTTTCTCAATGTGCCTAATTTAGTGCCACCTATAATTAAGTCTCTTCAACTAAAAGGGTAATCTTTCTTTACTCTCTAAGGTAATAAATATTTGGATTTGTTAAAAAAACAAAAAGAAAGATCAAAGGCATCCAAAGATCCATCAATGATGTCTTGATAAGTAAACCACTATAACTGTGCCAAATTTCATAATATAAACTGTTAAATTAAATTACTGGGGAATACTAACTCGAGTCCACGAGGAGCAATCCTTAATAGACGCAACGAAGGAGACAGAATCTGGAAAAAATCTTTGTCTGGGGAGACAACTCGCACCTGCACCAATACAAAGTAAACATGTACAAGAACACTCAGAAAAACAAGTACATACCCCTAAATAATCCACTAAGAATCTATGAGGGAGTGCAGATCTTCCATCCCAAACATTGATGAAATCAAGTTCACATTCTAAATAATAGATTTATAACAACCTTAAAGCCCCCTGTACTTATCTCATTCGCAGATAGTCAGACATAATGCAAAGAAATTTTCAAAAAGTTCTTGGGCAAGTCTCCATCCCGCCTTAAATCAGTAAGCTCCCCATCAATGTTACATCCACAAATGTACCAGACATCAAAAGAACTAGCAGCTCCAAGCAAGTAGTTTACATACTCAGCAGCTTCCTCACATAACAAGTACGAAAGTAAATTTCTTCCTCCTTGTTTTTCTCTTTCTCGCGTTACAAGCAGTCAAAACAGATTCCAAAAAGGAAGATCGGGTCAAATAGCATATCTTATGCGAGCAAAGGATGTCAAAACTGAGAGCTATTAAGCTCAAAATATCGGCTTGCCTCTCAATTTCACGTTGCAAGCAGCATTAATACCAATATACCAAAAGATTTTATAGAAAGATTCATGGACCCAGTCCACAAGCAAAGTCTATTTTTTGCCACCATATAAACATAGGAAAGACAGCCCACAAATAGGCTTTCCCTTATCACAAAGCTTAGAGCCAAAATATGTTTGTTACTGAGATTGTCATCTGTAAATTAAGCTGATTTTGCAAGTACCTTGAATCCTCCATTGACACTCCTAACAGCCAAGGTCCCAATTACATCATCAGCTTCAACACCTGGAACCTACTTTAAAATGGACAAATAAATCCTAAAACCTTGCAACCAGATTAAATCAAACAAAAGCCGATAGTTTACGTCTTACCTCAATCACTTTAATAGACATTGCCTTGATGGATGCTTTCAAATACTGAAGTCCCTGAACAATGGTATCTGGTGTGGGAGGCCGATTGCTTTTGTATGAAGGGTAAAGGGTGTGACGAAAATTTAGGCCTACAAGTAATTTTACCAATCAGTAATTTCTATGTGATTATTAGATATGAGTAACCAAAATCTTATATTTCCCTTTGTTAATGCAGATAAAGAAGAGATTATATTGACATGCACGGTTTAAAAACCCTAATTGAAAAGCCTCAAAGCGCTAACTATGAGGCAGTTTTTGGAAGCGCTCGCCTCAGCCATGTGAGGCACCTGCCTCAAGGCTTGTGGACTATATAAAACATAGAAATTCTTATTGACCCATTTTGAGAATAACCCACTAAGCACTAAAACAATAAACAATTAGTGTTTCTCATACACTCAGTATGGAAATAGTCCACTGCCCCGATCAACTAAAATAATGGTTTCCTTTTAGATTTTTGTTTTGTTTTGCACACTTTTTAAATTGCCGTATTATGAATTTTAAAGATTGATTATGCTGTATTATGAGCTTATTTTGCATTTTAATAATTTCTTGACTTTTTTTGGTTTAATGTGAGGCTTATGCCTAGGCTTACACTTCAAATCATAAAAAAGAGAAACACCTTAGTACCCAATTGCATCTTCTAAAACATTGTTGATGTGAAATACTGCAGAATAAGTTATTCACTATATATGGTCACAGGACAGATGAATTGAAATGAACATCTGATCAGAGTCTGGAGTGCATATGGCATAAGGAATGACAAAAATAAAAATAGCGCAGATGAACTAAAGGAGAACAAGGAAAAATATCACAGCAGGATCTGCTTAGAAAAAAATTACATCGAAGCAAGTTTATCTGATATTTACAGGGAACATACAGACAAGTAGCATTGATAAAAAATTTTAGTGCTCAAACAGTTAACAAAGATGCAATATCAAGCTTCACAGATAATATATATTATGAAGGGGAAAGAGAATCCAAGAATAACCACGTATTACTTGGGTGAAAGAGATAAGAAAGATGGTGAGGGAGACCAACAAAACAGAGACAAAATATAAACAAGCGAACATTTTCCTAAGGAATACATCTGAGAAAAAGTAAAGAGGTAGTAGCTCTAGCATACGGGAATTACACAACCTAACCAGAAACATAGATCTCCTGCAAATGAAATATATCTAGAAATAATAATTACTGTAGCTACTGTAATGATGCATATGCATTTTGGTTAGAGCAACGTGCTCTCTGGATGCCACTCGCAAAAACAGTACATCGTAGACAATAAACCTTAAAATCAGATAAGATCTGTAATAAACATTTATCCTTCAATTTCAATAAATGCAAGTTTGAATTAATTGTGACAAACTCAGTAATAAGAATTGTGAGAGATTTTACTTTCAGCACCATAACAGAAAATCCAAGTGATTTGACATCTCCCTACATAGCCAACAAAGACAAATTTGGAAAACCCATGATGCGATGATGCCAACAGATTCTTCAACATCAATCAGTATTGCAAATCAGTTGAAAGGGCTCCTATGTACAAAGCATATTGAGGTGCACCCAAAATGCCCTTTTTAGAATTGAAGCGCAATGGTGTGCAAACAACACCACAAAGTGCAAGACCAAAAGTCAGATTTTGTTAAATTTTGGGCATCTTGAATCCTTCGTCTGCACATTAGATTTGATTTAGCTTGGATGTCATATTGATATTTGGCTGCTGAAATTAAATTGATTAAGGAACGACTTATCAATCTTAGAGCATATTTGGTACAGCTTAAAACCCAATTAAAATCAATTTTTTGAACGTTATTTTACTATTGTAACCGTCATTTTTGAATTCTTCTCTCACAAGTAAGATTCACTTTATCTTTAACGATCAAAAAATCAATTAACAAAATCCCTACCAAACAAACACTTAATATGGAATTATTTTGGCACAGTTTGTTCAAATAGATGGTGAAATCAACCGTGTCACTGAAAATTGTTGTTTTCAGTTTTTCTTAGTATATTTTCTATCTAAGGACTTTTAATTTAGATTATAATAAGCTTTTTGCTTCAATAAACTTGTGCTTTGTGCTTAAGCTCTAAGAGGCATTGGCAGTGCATTACACTTTGCACAGTTAATAATTACTTCATCAAACAAAACAGAGAGACTGATCAGCATTTTGATGAAACTAACAATTGGAAGCCAGAGAAGAATTTGAGGAATCTACTCAGGCAAGCCAAAACTTATAGATTATTGCAAATTAGCATTGTGGTTCCCCCTTATTAGGATAAGAGACATTCAAAACTGTAATAATTATAGAGGTGTTACGGTATGAGTCATACTACGTAAAATTATGAGAGAGGGAGATTAAATATAGAAGATTTCATAAAATTATTTATGCTTTACGCCACAAAGATCTACAATGGATGTCATTTACTTGCTTGAGAAATTGATGGATAAGTGCACACAAAAGAAAGAATATTGGTTTTTGCTTATCCTCCAATACGGTATCCAAGGAAGTGAGTGCTGCAGAGAGAACGAATTCCTATTTGAATGTCATATTATTAAGGACATGTATAGTGAAGCAATCATAAGTGTAAGATGTAGTGGCGGAAGTAGTAGAGACTAGTGATGGACAAGCTTACATGACATAGTCAAAATAAGGTCCTTAGTCTATGTTATTCATTGATGAAAATGTTTAGTCATTAAGAGCAATCTAAAGGTATTAGGTTGATTAGGCACAAGGTTAATAAAAGACGTACTATAGAGAATCATACTCTCCCCAAAAGTGAGTCATTTACGTATTTTGGCTCAACATTAAATGAAGAATACAGTCCTAACTCACTTTAACATTTCATCAAAAATTTTGAAAGTATCCCAATCAGTGTAAGGAAAAGAAGAGTTATGTATTTGTTATTACTTATACGAGACCGTTCTTCCTACTCATAAATTTGACACACTTATTTAACAAATAATCGTAATCTTTAATATAAGTCAATCCAATGTTTAATATGTATTTCACTAAAATCATGGGAGAGTTTATTATAACCACTTGAAATCCATAAGATATCGAGCGTTGGATTGACTTAAATTAAAGTTCACGATTATTTGTCAAATAAGTGTGTCAAATTTATGAGCAGAGGAACGATTCTGTTACCTATATTAATAGAATTACAGGCAATGCAACATATTATCTCCAAAACCACTCATCCAATCACAAGGCATGATGTAGGTGATCAGTCATTCGTAACTTTCTCCGGATCTTCAGCAGTACATATTGACATGCATAAATAGATCTATGAAACATATATTTTACATATGCATAAGCTCTTTATTTATATATATATATAAAAAGAAAGAAAAAATTCATTCCACGAGACAGTAAACCCCCTCAATAAAATGCATGAGTTTGATCCCTTCATGCTTCAAACTGTTTCTTCTATCCAAATAATTGGTCCTAATAATACAATCCAGTGTTTGTCCAACACTATCACAGCTTTGGATTAAATAGCATACCTTTTGCAACAAAACTTTGTTTGGATGAAAGAGAAGTGTGACCATATGGAAATCCTGAAAGGAAAAACTTTTTTTGTCAAAATATTCTTGGGAGAAGGGTGCTCATATCCATACCCATCTAATTGCAAATATCGGGCAAAAATATTAGAAGTCACACATTAACAATTTACCGTGTATTACTGGAAGGTTCAAAACCAGATTCTCATGGGGTTGAAGAAAATATTGTAAAACATTTTACATGAACATGGGGTTTGGTTTTTTGCACTTCTCACCTTCCAGACAAGTCAGCACAAAATAAATCATTTGGCAAAGATAATATGTGTTGGCAAAATACAACAAAGAAAACTCAATCTTCTACTTCCTAGAATTTCCTCCAACAATTCAAGGATAAAATCACTTGCAAAACAGATTCCAATAATATTAAGAAACAAGGACCCTGGAAATAAGATCGAAAACTTAATCGATGTCATACTATCGTGTCATTAATCTAGATTTGAGATTTATCCAGGACAAACTTCAATATCTTATCAATAAAACAAGGAATCTTAGCTTACAGTTCTAAAATATGCCTCATCCTAAATGTGGCGCCACAAGATGTTCCCATTCCACTCAAACTACACATTTGGAATCAAAATATGATACTTACTCTAACAAATTGTCCAAACATACACTCTAAAATGTCTCTCCTCCAAAATATACCCATTGCATTTAAAATAAACATTTGAAGTCATAATATGATACTTAAACAATTGATGCCAAAAAAGTTTGTTTAGAACACAATGAACTAGCTCGAATATTAGGAGAAAAGAACAAAACGTGCAAAAGGCTTTGAAAAGAATGATGCCCTTGTCAAATCCTTCTTTTCTTACCAAATCAAAGAGGTAAAACAGTTTAAAGGGCGCAGAATTAGTTATGCATATTATCATTCATGTAGTCACCTCGACAGAGGCAAGAGGGCAAAGATTAATAGTCCATCTGATGAATAAACTATCATCAGCATTAGTAAATTATTCCATCTGAAAACTTCAACTCAATATTAAAAAAAGAAGGAAATAAGTGACTGGTAGACAATCAGTCTTTTATGTTCTGATGCTCAGTCAAAATACAACATAATGATTGTATCACTTATCTGCAAACTTCTACAGGCACCGGCTACCTCATTCCTGACAGCACAACTCTTTCAATAAATAAATAGTAATTTATGAAGATTTCAGTAATTAAGTACACACATGCATGAAAGGTTCCTTATGTCCATTATTCCACAGTATGATTGAACATCCAAATGCTTCATTGAAGATCAACATTGTATGTGCTCAGTACTAGATGATTAAAAATTAGAAGAACAACCATTTGTTAGCAAACAGAGGATGGTTCCAATTTAATGTGTAATGTTTTTCTATCTCTTATTTCTAGTCAAGACCTTCTCAGATAAACAAATATATCCTGCCACAGGCTTGGGAGGAAAAACATAAGGTATATCACCATGGTCCTGCACTAAAGCTACAAACACCTAGAAGTACAGGAAAACATTCTAGAGGACATTCAACTTAAATCCCTCAATTCAAGAAACTGCCAATAGGCAGTGGAGCTAATAATTGCCATTTCCAACTAAATTTTCGCAAAGTTGCCTTCCATTTATAAACCAAATACTGGCAGGCATAAAAAAATCTATATCCCATATGCCCCCTTCCACATAGATTGCGTGTATAGCATGGCAATAATTATAGCAGAGAAGCAAAAAAAAAAAAGAGAGAGAGAGAGAACATTAAAAAACAATAGGGGAAAATTAGTGATGAGAATTGAAAGATGAAAAAAAATAGTGAAAACAAATTTAAACAAGAAGTATATCTTACCATTGTGGTCAAAAACCACCTGCAGAGCAAGCACATGAATGCAAAAAACAAAGAAAGAAAAAGAACACATGTTAGAGCGTGGTGATGATAGTTTTGTAGCATAAAGTTGCTAGACATGCATGGGGGTGAAAGACATAAAAATTGCTACTTTAAGATAGGAAAAGCAGACAAAAAAGATAATAACAATTTAATAAAGTTGATTTCAAGTGGGAGATATTACTTGCAGAACTTTTATTAGAGAAGTAACTTTTTCATAATTATTTGATCTTTAACAAGACCTAACTATAACTCAAAGCAAATCCTTAGTTTAAAATTTGGAACTATACTTCTTCCATCATTCAAACCAATAAATTATGTCTTCATTTTTTCACTACTGTGCATTGTCCATAATGCTAAGGTTCATTATTGATGATTTATAAAAGCAACTGTTGAGAAAAAAATTTATTTCATGTCCAGTTCTAATAATGCAATTTTTTTTTTTTTGATAGGTAATCATAATTTTATCAATTAAAAGAGATTACACGGGATGTGTACAATCACTTTAAGCAAGAGAGGAACTACATGAAATTAGGCAACCCTTCTACAGGATTTTTAGTCGCGGCATTAAACCAATTATACAAAGTCAAATAAAACATTTCCCTAATTTGCGCTATTGTCTTTGTTTGATCTTTGAAACAGCAGTTGTTTCTTTCTCTCCAAACACACCATGCAATGCATCCCGAGATAAGGTTCTATACAACTTTGCTATCCTTATCACGAAATTTTCTCTTCCATGCCTGCAATACATCCTCTATACGCTTTGGCAACACCCAAACCATAGATTGAGAAGTCAGGATATTGTTCCAAAGCTAGCGAACACCATCAAAATGAATGAACAAGTGTCTACCGTCTCCCCATCCCTTTTACACATATAGCACCACTCAATGACATAAAAGCCTTTTCGTCGAAGATTATCTACCGTTGACACCTGCCCCCTTACAACCGTCCACAATAAGAATGCTACCCGTGGAGGCAATTTGCTTTGCCACACCAGCTTCCAAGGGAATGAACTATCTATAGGTCCCAAAAGCGATCTAAAATAAGTCCGAACAGAAAAGATACCGTCTCGTGCCAACTTCCACCTGCTACAATCATTCTTTGCTACCCGAATTTGTACCTTATGTAGAGATGTCAAAAACAACGAATAATCATCACCAATCCGGTAGGCCCCTCTCAAAAGTAATATTCCAGTTGTAATTCCCATTATGAATGGCTAATACATCACTCATCATAGCAGAAGGCACTAAAAAAATGCGGTGCAAAGAAGGAAATCCTAACTTCAGCGGTTGATCACCACACCCACAATCATCCCAAAATTTGATATCATTACCATTCCCCACCACAAAATTCAATTTGTCCTGAAAATCACTCCATCCCCATTGGATATACCTCCACAAACTCACCCCATAGGAACCACGACCCTCAACAGTACACTAACCCCCCCTCCATCACACCGTACTTCTCCTCTACGATTTCTCTCCCAAAGTTCTCTCTCTTCTCCAAATCGCCACAACCACTTACCCAATAAGGTCTCATTAATCAAAACAAGACTCCTAACTCCAAGGCCCCCCATCCTCATACGCAAACAAACAATACCCCAATTAACCAAATGAAGTTTTCTCTTCTCCCCCATCCCTGCCCAGTGAAATTCCCTTCGAAATCTCTCTAATCTATTTGTCACTGCAACCGGAATAGGGAACAACGACAAAAAGTAAGTAGAGAGATTAGACAGAGTGGATTTAATGAGTGTAAATTGACCTCCCTTAGAGAGGTACATACGCTTCCACCCTGCTAACCTCCTCTCCACCCTTTCCACAATACAATTCCAAATATGCATACTTTTAAACCGTGCTCCTGGCGGAAGCCCAAGATATGACATAGGCAACTGCGTAGTAATGCAATTATTGGTGAAAAATAAAATTATTCTGAGGAGATCACTTACATTAAACCACATAATTACATTGTTTCCCAACAATTGGTATTATCTACTTCTTGCAAAAGCTAATATACTAGGTTATCTCCTAAAATCAATCAGTTCTTGTCAATTATAGATGTTCACTTGCATTAGGAATTTTAAATTCAGTTCTTTAGAAGTCCAGCTGAAATCTCAATCATCTGCACTTCCATTGTTCACTCACAAGGATAATTTGGTTTATGCAATTAACATATAATTATATTCTGCCAGCGAGCAACTGCACTGACAGTATTAACTGGGCTTCAACCAGCCTTGATGGAATTCCTTCAACAAGAATGGTTTGGCTACAGCTGCATGTAATTTTGGAGGGAAAAACTAAAGGGTGTATTAGGGTATTAAATGTCATATAATTGCAGAAGTAGTTCAATGCAGAATCTACTCCTACAGAAGAATTCAGGATTCATTTACCAGATGGCTTAAAAAGCCTCGAAGCTCCAGAAAATAATTTTGATACGAGTGTTTAATTGCCAGTAAATGCAAAACCTACTCTTTCAGAAAAAATTCAGGATTTTTTTACTGGATGGCTCAAAAAGCCTGGATACTCCAGAATCTAATTTTAATATGAGTGTTTGATTGCCAGTAAAAGCAACTTCTGGCTGCCCAAAGAAACCAAAAATAAGTATCTTCTATGGGGACCAAACATGCAAATATCACATTGCTTATTGTGCTCTGGGGTTTACTCCGCTTGTATTTCCTTGTACTTATTTGAATTTACTTGTCATTTTTGGGACTTGAAGAGTATAATTTTACTTGCGGATTTGCTAGTTACTCATCTTCGTGTTGTTTCTTACTTTTGGCTTTTGAGTTTTACCATTCTCAAGGGGCAATGCCCTTGCTTTTGAAATAATTCCTTAGCTTTATTATGGATTTTTCTGAAAGGGTTCAGGTATATTAGGAGCATATTTTTGTAACATTATATTCTTCTGAATTCATTTATTGTTCAAGCTCAAGGCTTACGCCTCTCCTCATGGCGATAAAAAGCCAAAATACCCAATTAAGCCTTTTAAACATTGTTTAGTAAAGAGAGAACCCACAAGTTCAAAGCAAATGTGTGCTGTTAAAGAACTAGTAAGTGCTGGGGAGAATGTGATCGAGATAAAGAGTCCAATTTATTTTCACACAGATGTCTCATAGGGAGAAAAAGGGCTCATACCGCCACATGCGAAGGGATGAATTTCAAGACATCAATTATCTGCAACAAAATTCATATAACTTACTTTAAATTTTAAAATCTGAGTAACTTTAAATGACACTGGTGCCATTGGGATTAACCGACAGAGAATAGCATTGAATTTCAAAAGGACAAAGAAGAATTCATGGAGACAAACACCACAAATTTGAGATAAATACTTCATGGAGTTCAATACTGTTGGATCCACTTTGATAATAATAAATCAACCCCTAAGCTTTATTTTGCTTGTCGAATTTAAAAGGGAAAATAATTTCTAGCATATTAAAATGGATGGCCCACTAAAATCAAACCTTTTGCATGTATATAATGCATCTTTAGTTAATGTGCCTTACTATGAGACAGCAATGTGGATAACACAATTCATTTCTGGGTTCATCCATGCCTAACATGGAAACAGTTGATGATCATTTTTGAGCTATACGCATCAACATTCAACATTTATATATTATATCTTTCCTACATAACTGAGTAGAACACTATTCAGAGAAAAGAAACATCCTGCGTCTTCAGAGACAGTCATAGTTCAGTAGTAGGTTTTACTTAGTTAATTTGCATAATCATTTCAGCTAAATATGTACTCTGACAGAGGCATTTCATAATCAGAGAAGTTGAGAGATCTTAAAGGGCGCTAGAAAACCCATGTAATCAAAACACTTTTGAACATTTTGATGTTGCTCAATGAAATCACTATAAAAGGTTATATAAAACAGCAAGGACAATTTCATGAATCTAAAAGAATCAGAACTTACAAGAGACAGGGCTGTAAAAATGGTTAAGACCCAATCCCCATTTCCATCAGCGTCTGAGAGGTGGCCATGGTGCAATTTAGCTATTCAGGAATCCATAAAATGAATCAATCCTTGAGAGATATAAATTGCAGGGACATAAAGGATGGAAACAGAAAGGCAACACTTTATCATCAAGAGATACCACTCATTGGTTAAAAAAATAAAAAATTCAAGTATTGACCTCTAAACAATAGTCCTTGATTAATAAGTAACACGTTTTTCCCGTGAAAAATTCAAGTTGATAATCAGATACGTAAAACAAGTGAAAGAGTAAGAAAATTTGTTGACATTTTCTGAAATCTCTTGTAGAACAAGCACTCTCATTATACAATCTTTTGGATCCATGAAAACTGAAGTTAGCATGGAGTACAATACGATAGATGTCTTTGGGAGTTATCATGAAGTAGAATATCATAGATGTCTATAATTCCTAAGAGAACATTAAAAGTAAGAGATATTTTAGGGAAACTTTCGACCTTCCCAAGGTCATATAGACATTCAGCTTGTTTCCGTGTATTGTTTTGTGAAGTTCCTCATACGCAACAAATGCTGATCAACTTTTAGACAGGGTTCCCATCAGGTTTTGCAGGTAGGAGTATAACTAATAGGGGTTTCAGTATCAGGAAGCGGAACAAGTTTTAAATCAAAAAACTGCAGAGTTCTTCTCTTGGTTAAAAAGCGAATGAGTTAACCCTTCTTGTCTCACTCTCTTCAGCACAACCACTTCATGATCACATCACTTATTGGATTCTTCACATCTCATATATCTCAAACTCCTCTTTTTGTGTTTTGCATAAACATTGACCAATGTATTGTTTTTAATTCAACAGAATGATATAGTGGACTGGAGCTTATATTTTGGTAAATAATTTTCTAAAGCAGTCTTCATACTTCAGCAGATTCAATTGCACAATCCACCAAAGAAAGGGAACTTTTTTCATAAAAAATAAAAATCCGCTGGTCAAGAAAGCACCAAAAATAATCAAATTTGGATATCGAGGTGGTGAACATATTTCAACGTCTGCTTCAAATTACTGAGTATTGATGTAATTTTTAGTTCTCTGACATGATCTATAAGCCAAATTAAGAACAGAACAAGTTTCCTATCCAATAAGGTGGAAAGTAGCTTCATAATTAGTATAATACAATAATGCAACAGCTAACTTTGTGTGTATCAGGGACCTAAAAAACTTCATTTAATGTCTTGTCCCTTGTCTACTGCTTATCAGAGTACCTTAGTGATATATACAAGAAATAAAGTTCATCATTCGCAACTGATTAGGAATGGAAAAGAGGTGATGCTCAAGATTTTTCACTCTAGACACTACAGATATATTTCGCCTCCTTTCCTTCGTCCACCACTTCATCTCTCCTTCCTTCGCGCCTCTGCTCTTTCACTTCTCCACTCTCTCTTCTTTGTTATAACTTATTTCATTCATAAGCATCAATAATCCAAGATTGCTAGAGAATGAAAATGTTCTCAGCAAGGTGGCCTGAGAAAAATTGTCCAACGTCGCATCCAAACGGAACTACCACATCCAGCGTCATCACATGTTAACTAATACAGTTCTTTCAACTCTTGTCTTTGTAAGACAGGATCCATAAATATTTTAAGGGAACTACGTGTGAAACAACACATATCACATCCATACTCATAATAATGTACAAAAAGCATATATAGCAAGTGAAACTACATTTGTTCATAATAAAAGACACTAACCATTACGTGAATGAATTCAGAGTAGATGGTTTGACATACCAAGAAGCTTGTAGTACGCCCTATAAATGATTGATGTTCCATCAATAAGCATAACTCTACCATCAGAAGAGCTGGGGTTCAATAGTCCATCTCTAAGTTCAGCTGAATCAAAAATTGCATCTTGGGCTAGTGTTGCACTTTGGACAGACGTACTCATACAAAGCAAAGAAACTCTCCGTGCAACTTTACAACAATCAGAATTCAAACTACATGACACCCTACCGAAACCCTGAATTGCGAAAAAAATAAACAATTTAGTGAGTTGGAAATGTCAAAATGGACATATTAAACCGGGCATGGTTGTCGATGTTAGTAATATACTTTACCTTTTTAAACAGCACATTTGAAGAATAACTCCTACGCGGTTTTGTGAAACTAATCAACTTGTTAGAAGTCCTTCGAGTCACCAAAAAATTATTGGCAAAACAATAAAGGGTTCTCTGAAAGGAGTAGGACCCCATGAGTTCATAACAAATTGTTCTCCAAATTCCAGTTCAATCTTTTGCTTAAAGCATGATGAAGAAAGAACGACTGCAGTAGTACACAAAATGAACTGAGATTTTGTACGCTTGGAAATGAATGAGACTATAAAACTCAGGAAAATATCATCATAAACCGCAACAAGTCAGCAAAAAAAACCCTAATCTACGATAAATTAGCCGGTTATGATGCATTATTCATTTCCAATATACAAACTCATACATATGATTGCATAAGAATCCAAGAGTTTTACCGCTTACCGCGCAAAAACCTTTGGAATATTCAAGTTAGAAATAGCGATATAGCTATTGTGCTGATAAATATGCCGACTACGGCCGCTCTGCTCCGGTTTGGTGCGAGGGTGTCCACACCGGGTTGAGTGGATGAATCGTTGCTAGTATTTGGGTCCGGTCGAAGTACACAAAATTATGGGGAAAAGGTGATTATTTCCAATGCTCTTAAAAAACATAAAACTCCCTATTTATAAAAATGGGTTAATTTCACAAACGATCACTAAACTTACGCGAAAATTACAAAACAGTCATTGAAGTTTAAAATTTTCAGTAACAATCACTTCAGTTTCAGGACGCTTTAAAAAATGATGACTGAAATTTAAAAACTTACAAAAATGGTCACTGAAGTGTAAAAACTTGCAAAAACAGTAATTGAAATTTAAAAACATTTTTTTGTCATTTTTGCGACAACTTTTCAGTCACTTTCGACCACCGATACCACTGAATTTTGATACCGTTGAAAAGCTCATAATATCTTCTTCAATTATCATCCAAAATCTCCCCCAAACTTCAAAGGATTCGCTGGAAATAAATCCACAAAGTCAACCACCCAAAAATGCGAAAATCTACCCAAATTCGGGATGCTGACTTTGTAGTTTTATTCTGGTCGAATCCTTTGGAGTTATAAAGATATTTTGGTTGGTAATTGAAGAGGATATTGTGAGCTTTCCAATGGTAATAAAATACAACGGTCTTAGTGGTCAGAAATTATCGCAAAAGTCACCCAAAAAATTGAAAAATTTGCACAGATTTTAACCTTTTCCAGTAGCCAACTTTGTGGGTTTATTCCGACTGAATCCTTTGGAGTTTGGGAGAGGTTTTTTATGGTAATTGAAGAAGATGTTGTGAGCTTTTCAACGGTATCAAAATTCGACGGTATTGGTGATCGAAAGTTATCGGAAAGTTGCCTCAAAAGTAGCCCAAAAAATCTAAAAAATCTGCCCAAATTTTCGCCTTTTTGAGTTGTCGACTTTGTAGGTTTATTCCGACCTAATTATTTGAAGTTTGAGAGAAATTTTGGGTGGTGATTGAAGAGAATATTGTGGACTTTCCAATGATATCAAAAAATGACGGTCTTGGTGGTCAAAAATCGCCAAAAATCGCCGCAAAAGCCATCCAAAAAATTTGAAAATATGGACGACTTTTGCGGTGATTTTCAGGTCAAATCCCTTAAAGTTTCAAGGAGATTTTAGGTGATAATTGAAGAGGATATTGTGGGCTTTCCAACGATATCAAAATTCAGCGGTATCAGTGGTCGGAAGTTGTCCAAAAGTTGTCGCAAAAGTAGTCCAAAAATCTGAAAAATTATTTTTAAATTTCAATGACCGTTTCTAAAAGCTTTTTGAAACATAAGTGACTATTACTGAAGTTTTAAACTTCAATAACTGTTTTATATTTTTTGCGTAAGTTCAGTAACCGTTTGTGAAATTAACCCTTATAAAAGCATAATATATGTTAGAGAGCAATAATTTTTTTACTTTCTATTCTAATTCTTCATTTTGTTTTTATGCAATAAATATTCATTTATTTTTCCTCATATTTTTATTTAACTTTTTTCATAGAGAATTGAAATTTATAACATACTAAGCCTAGGTCTAGTTTAGTTAAAAAAATCAAAGTTTTAGTAAATTTTGAGAAAAATTGATAAAATATATTGTTGACAAGTTAATAAAAATTTAAAATCTCATGAAATGTGTAGCTGAAAATAAGTATAAGAAAAATAAATTTTAGAGAATATTGATCAAACATCAATTAAATGCAATCGCTATAAAATAAGAATAGAATGTGAGTTGTGGTTCTTCAAATTATTTTTAAAGCGAAGTAGCTTATTTAGCCCCTATTTGACAATCGTTATTTGGGGAAAATAGAGATTTGAATAGTGATTTTTAGAATAATGTATGATTAAAAAATATGAAAAAATTTAAATTTACGTGCAGAATAAATGCAGTTGAAAATGAGTACGTATAAAAAAGAGTTTAAAACTAATGAGAAGCATTTTATATTTAGCCCGTGTTTGATCACCATTTTTGGGGAAAATGTATTATGGAATAGTGATTTATTGGAGAATGTGTGGCTAAAAAGTAAGAAAATATTTTTGAAATACGTGTATTATTATTTTATAGAAGAATGTGTGATTAAAAATGAAAAGTAAAAAAATGCATTCTTATAAAAATGGGAATCAAACAGGAGCTTAGAAAATCTCTTAAGATATGCTAGAACTTATGGGGAAAAAATATTGTTGATTAAATAGCTTATTCGAGTAATTTAAAATTTAAAATTTTTAAATTTATAGATGCTTTTCAAATAATAAAATATATTCTTTAAAAATAAAGAGTATCTTGAAGATATTCAAAATCAATTCAAAATATGTGGAAATTTTTGCTTTTAGAATTTATAAACATTAGCCAAACATTATCCAAGATACTCGTGAATTGCCGCAATTCAACACTTCTGAACGGCAAAAATGGCATCAATTTTCACAGCTCCGTGCCCTTACACTCTTCGTTTGTTGATAGCTTTGTCATTGTTCTTGCCTACATATTCCATTTAACATCTATACTAATACCTATAATAAATTGATAATACTTGCATAAGATGTCGAGGTTCCTTTTTTTTTTTTTAATTCTTATTATTTGATCTAGCCTCCAATTGAGAACAAGTTGTAAATAATTTAATTTATAAATATATAAAAATAAATAATGGATATGTGAATAGTATTCGTGAATTAATTGAAACGTGTGGTTGAAAATGAAGTTATAAATTTTACCAAAAGGAGAATAAGATAATATAGATTTCTAATAAAATTTTAACTTTTGATGATTATATTGCCCCCACAATTTTTATTGGATACGCCACATTTTAATTGCAATTAAACTTCTCAATTTTTTGTCATTATCGCAATTATTTTCTTAACTTTTTTTCGTTAAATTCTTATCATCAACCCTTTATTAGTTCGTACGTCTCATACTTGATGATGATTTATATCAAAATCTTTTTTCATGCTCTGAAATGAAGAAATTTTTTGCACTTTTTATTTATTTATATTCTCAAAAAATATGATGAAGATATAAGTTGTTTTATATTATTTCAACGAATTTTTTAGCATAAAACTGTTATCAAATACAAAATGTGTTAACAAATGGAAATTTTGAGAATAAGAATAAAGTGAAAAATAGTTAGGACGTAAATGCTATAATGAGTGATGATTAAAAACCTTGAATGTAATTAAAAAATGGTGCAAGAAATAAAATTTGTGGACTTTTAATAATGAAAATCCGGGTAAAAAGCACAAAATGCCCCTATCTTTCAATGTAATTGTGGAAAACGTCTTTATCTTTCATTTTTTGACATTTTTACCCCTATTTTCACTTTTAGTGCGTAAAAGGTCATTTTCATCCATTTTTTCAATAAAAATACGATTTTGCTCCCTATTCAAATAAAACAAGAAGAAAATAATAGGAAAATAAAGAGTTAATTGCAACTGTAATCCTAAATTTTCGAAAAATTACAAATCAGTCACATATATATTTATAAATCAAAAGTTTAAAAAAAAAGGAAAAAGAAAAATACCACATTCCTCTTAAATGGAGCAATCGGCGGTCCACACTCAAACCACCACCAATCGTCGCCTAAATCACAGAAAAATGCTCTGTAAACTTACATCTTTGCCCGTGGTGCTGACGTCTCTTCCCTTTCCCAACGCGTCTGCAACCACAACCACCATAATTACTCATACACCACTTTTACAACCTGCCTAGTGGCTCCATTGACAAGGATTTTTTTGAAAATAGAACCCATTCAAAATTCAATTCCTTTTTCCTTCAGAAGAATATGAATCTAGAGATCAAAATTTGGGGTTTATGGAGGGCAAAAGACGACAGGATAATCAACTCAAGGAAAGCCAATATTTCGATGACGAAGAAGAGAAAACGGAGATTTCGGTTGGTAGAAATAGAACCAAATAAAAAGGCAGGGGATTCGAGTATTGACCAATTTTTGAAATTCAGGAGTGACAAGAGTGATATTAATTCTTTAGCGAAAGATGAGGACTTGGTGATAGTAATTGTATTGATGCTAAATTGGAGGAATTAGAGAGGCAAAAAAAAAAAAAAAGCAAAGACAGTTTCGATGGTGAGAAGCGGGAAGCAAATGTTGAGAAGATTAAATGTCATGGCAAAGCAAGTGTTAGCATTAGTTTTGCTCTCAGCTTGGGATTCGTCTTGCAGCTTTGTGAGTTTTTTTATTTCTCATCTATCAAACTGTTGACACATAAAAATTCAACTCAAATCGAACGGCCCAAGGAATGAAACCCAATTGGAGGATCCCCAAATCAGATAACCCAAAGAACGAAGCTCAATCAGACAATTCAGGATGAAGGCCCAAATAGGGAGGCCCATGAACGTAGTAACACCATCGCCCAAGCTTGCAAGTCGCCCAGGATCTGAGCGAATGGAATGCCATGCAGTCGCCCAGAGCTGCTACTCTATTATCGCCCAAACTTTCGAGTCGCCCAAGGTCTTGGCAAACATGAAATGTTATGATTATCAAGAAGCTCAGTTATCAAAGCAGTTATTAAGCAGCCCTATCACGTTCCACGATTCAAGGAATTCAATTGAAGATGGTTGAACGACAAAAAGTAATGGCAACAGTTAGAAAAGGTAGTTCCATGACAAGTCGGCCATTACGAGGAAGTGGGCAGTTATAGAACGATCAAGCAGTTTTTAAGCGGTTGATCACAAAGAGATCATCCAAAGAGTATAAAAGGAAGAAAAGATATAGAGCAAAGGACCCCGAATCAAAAAACTCTCGAACAGAGAACGTGTAATTTTAAATTCTTAATTTAAATTTAAACACTTCTTTCAGTAACTCGTGTGTTTGCGCCCCTTGGAGGAATTCTGTTTTTACTTTTCGATCGTAAAGTCATCACCAATAAAGAACACCCCTTTTTGAGACTTTGTCTCGAGAGGTTTGTCCCTTAAACAATCGTCTGATCCCTTTTTAATTGTTAGCGACGAACCCAAGCGAAATAATTTGGCACGCCCAGTGGGACAGTGGTGTTTGGTGTTGAAAATACAAAAGGTGAAACAATATGCATCAGAGATTCGATAAGGAATCAGCAAGTCAGGGAGAAGTCCAATCTGTGAT